GAATCGGATGATGGTGAATCAGATGATGGTGAATCGGATGATGGTGAATCAGATGACGAGCAATCAGATGATGGTGAATCGGATGATGGTGAATCAGATGACGAGCAATCAGATCATGATAAATCTATGGATGACGAACCAGACCATGATCCACATGATCTTGTATATGAACAAAATAAAGCATTGGAGAAGCTATCCACTATATTTCATTTACTTAATATAGCTCCGATACATGACAAGTAAGTTTTTAAAAGTTATCCTAGCTTTTCTAAGGCAAATTCTTATGTTAAGGTTAGCGGTACGACCCATTCGAGTCAAAGTTGATGAAGTATATCGAAGGCTCCATCAACTTTGTGATGTATTGGAGGGAAAGTCTGAAGGTTTTCATGACCCAGATCCGCATGGTTTACTTATATCTGAATCAAATCATCTTTTGGATGGTTTTAAAAAATTATTTGCCAAGAGTGATGATGATGAACAAGTCCGTCTCATGACGATAGCTCCACAACGATGGGGTCGAAAAAATATTGAAAGATGGTAAGCACTTTAAATGAAATACTTTCAGTTTCATTTACACATTTTATTTAATTACTTAATTATGAACGTCTTGTCTGTTATCAGGTTCCATTCGAAACAAGGTCAAGCTCGTCGATCACTTCTTCTTCGAAAACACCAAAGTACTCTTGTTCAATCACAATATTTACGAGGAAACCGATGTCTATCAGATAAGACGATTGACGCTGTTCTACAATTCTATTGTGAAGATGGCATAAGTCGGATCTCATCGAATTCGAAGGATACGATTCAAGTCAACAAGAAGCGAGTACCGATTAGATTTATGGAGATGTCAATCTTAGATGCCTTTCGGATATTCAACGAGCGATTTCCCGGTGTTATTGGAAGATCGAATTTTTATTTACTTCGACCTCGGTCAGTAAAAATCGCCTCACCACATGAAACATGCATGTGTATAATACATGAGAATATGGATCTTTTATTGACGGTTTGTGTCTAATATATATTAATCTGCTTGTAATTTTTAGTTGATTATAGGCGTGGAATAATTACTGCGTGAAGCATTTTAAGAAAACATCTGGATATAATAGTGACAAATTCAATATGAAAGATCTTATCAGTCGAATGGTTTGCACTAAAGAAACAGAAAAATGTTACACTGGAACATGTAATTACTGCCCGAGGCAAAGTCTCATGGATATTCTCACCAACAGGAACCATATCGATTTGGATGACGAGTGTTCGTGGAAATTATGGAAGAAGGTGGACAACAAGTTTGATCTTCAACAAATGGTTTCTTCAATCGAATCTCTTCTCAAAGAGATTGAAGTGAGATGGCCTGCATTTCTACTTCACACGTACTGTAATCGACAACAACGTGAATATATAAAAGAACTGCGTACTCAATCATCGGACAAAACTTTCATTGTGGCACAGATGGATTTCAGTATGAATTATACACTCCTTCGACAACGTGAGGTTCAACAAGGCTTCTTCAGCTACAACCAAGCCACTCTGTTTACTATTCATCTTACAATCGGGCGGGAGCATCGAAACTTAGCAATAATTAGCAACTGTACAGAGCACTCAACATCGTTCGTATATTGTGCCCAACAAATTCTCGTCAAATATATCAAGAAAAATTTTCCATTAGTGAACAAGATTAACTATGTAAGGTGAGTACTATCTATGTTACAGGGAACATACTAATTTAGAACAGCATATTGAACAATTTTCTTCATCTTTTTAGCGATGGTGCCTGCGCTCACTTCAAGAACACTGCCAGCATTTATAATCTGCTCCATCATAAGAAAGATTTTGGTTTGGACGCTTCCTGGACATTTACGGCAACGAGCCATGGGAAAGCAGCTGGTGACGGTATTGGCGCTGTATTAAAAGCTACTGCTCGACGTGATACACTCTCAAAAAATATTCTTCTCTCAACACCAAAGGATTTTTATGAATTCTCACGACGAAAACAACTAGAAACAGCTGATGCATCTAGCAAAACTTATCCCGGTATTCAAGTCTTCTTTCTTAATGCAACAAAAGTTGAAAAAGTCAAAGCTAATGTTCTTAAAAAAAGAAGTAAACAGATAAAATCCTCAGGTAATAGAGAATTTTTTCTTCATCTAATTATATGACGTATCTGCATAGGAACAATCAAAGGCATTCGTGCTATGCACGAATTTCAGCCTTTCAACAGCAATACTATTCGGTGTCGACCAACATCTCGTTCAAAAAAAATCAACACATTCTCGTTTTAGTGACGTTCGTTTGGAATTCGTATTTATTCCGCATAACAAAACAGAATTAAATTTGAAAAAAAAAAAAAAATTTCATCACTATCAATTATCTTAAAAAAAAATTTTTTTTTGAAAAAACGACCTAGAACCCGACCATTTTATTAGAAATAATACTTTTTTTTTTGACAAATCACATTTTCTATAATGCTTCTATCTTTCTGAGCGATAAAAAGTGATAAAAACCCTTGGTTTGAATATTTAGTCGCCATCTATTGATATGATGGCTCGAACATGTGATACATATATAGAGGTTCCGAGAAAACGACTTAGAACTTCAGGAATTCAACAAAAAAGTTTTTTTTTTTTTCGGCGAATAATGTTTTCTCGATCGTTTAAGTCTTTCTGTCAAAAAAAAAATCGAAAAAAAACTTTTTCCAAAACGTGGTAGGTTTCCCACGGATTTACCCATATGTAGAATCAATCACAGCTTTCATGGCTCCTTCTTCAACTAATTTCGCCATAGCAACCATTCGCGAGTGATTCGGTTTGAGAGGCTCGAATACATGTCTACGAGGTACACCTCCAAGGTAGACAGGTACAACCATCGCGCTTAACAGTTGTAAGATTCTCTTTGTAGCCAACCATACTGTAGAACCTAAAATAGAAAGAAACACGAGTTAATCAATCAAAAATAGAATATGATTTATTATTAATCATAGATTACCAAATTCGACTATGCCAACAGTGCAGAACAAACCCGATGGGGTCAAATAATCGGGTGAATTGGAGTAGAGTGTGTGATCATTGCCAACAGTATCGAGGATTACATCAAATAGACGTGAACTGTAGTGCTCTCGAAGATAATCCGGCAAAACATGTGATGTGTAATCTATGACCTTATAAAAAAAAAGTAAATGTATTTATTCTTAGGAAAAAAAAGCATACTTCGTCTGCGCCTAGACTTCGAACGATATCATTTTTGGCTGGAGAACATGTTGCCACTATCAGACCTGTAGGTCCAACAATTGAACGTGCTAGTTGAATTGCCATTACACCAACGCCTCCCGATCCACCATTAATAAAAATCTTCTCTCCTTTCTTCAAGTTAGCCTTTTCAACTAAGAAACAATATGCTGTGTAGCCTAAAAATTCAAGAAACATAAGAATATATATATGGGAATGAAAATGGTTAGTACCTGTAGCTGTGAAGCATGAAGCATCCTTAAGTGAGATATGTTGAGGTACCTTGACGATATGATCACGCTTTGCAAGTACATACTCACGTAACACTCCTTGCGTAATATCTCGAATACCTGTAGGACCGATTCCAAATACTCGATCACCTTATTAAAAAAATAATGAAATATTAACAAAATAAAATGTAATTGATGAATATTACCTGTATTAAATTCTGTTACATTTGCGCCTCGTAAATCACAGACAATTCCACTGAAGTCCATTTCGGGCACAGCAGGTCTGCCTATGAATGCACCTATCGGATCGACGATACCATAATATGCTATAAGCCGATACGCTATAGCCGAATTCAATGAAACATGACTGCTCTTTATAAGTACTTCATCATCAGCACACGAAGTTGGAATAGGTACTTCGACCATTGTTAAAACATCTCGAGGATTTCCAGCTTTTGTGAACTGCCATTGCTTCATCATCTGATTATGATCGGTGGTTGTCATGTTTAATCTTTTCGAATGAAAAAAAATATCCTATAAGATGCACTGTAAAAAGAACTGAAATCTCAATTCTTTTCATAGTCCATCTTTCATATATTAAGTGAGACAAAATTAAAATGAAGAAAAAAGAACTTTCTCTGTTCGAGAATAAGTGTTAAAGATACATGACATAAATAAGAAAAAAAACTGTCCACGTGTTCTTATTTGTTATGATAGTGTTATTGCATCGTACAAAAAACACAGAAAAACAAGAAAATATAATAAAAAAGAACGAAGCAACAAACTCTCTCATTCACGTTGATATTCAATTTATGTCTGTCAAATTAATTGTATGGATTAAAATGTGTAAGCTTGTGAGTCATTCGTATGTTTCGGTAAAACACCAATAGACGTCTACGACAGAGGCTGGAATTTATATGTAATGGACGTATTCTTTCTTTCTGTTTTCTTTGTATGCGTTACATTTATGATACAGCTGGGTCTGAAAAGAATATAAAGAAAAAATGTGCCTGCTTTGTAGCTGATATCTCTCCGATGCAATTATTGTCTTATTTTTTATAGTAAACTATCGTTGAAAATAAATTATAATTCAAAGATGTATTAGTTCATATAGAAAAACTGTCTTTTCTAATAAAGTTCATAATTTTAATATTTTAATGATGGTGGTTAAGATGATGTCTAACTTTCATCAGAGTAATTCCTAATTGATTTCTTCCTATTCCATCCCCTCCATCAGCCCAGTAAGAATCGTTTTTTGTATGTTCAACTAAAGTACGATCACCAGTTGATAATAACAATTCGTTTAGTTTTGGATGTTGTTAAAATTTTGCCAAACATGCTTTGAACATAATCGAATGCTTCTCGAGGAGTTGCTAATCCTAAAATATTTTTAAAATGCATTTCATTTGAAACAAATTTTTTGTGCTTGAAAATAATGTTCAACAGTTGGCCAAGTGTATCCATCTAAGTCAATTGGAGCCAAATAAAAATTACTAAATTCGCGATATAGTTCATACTTCGAATAGAAAAGAATAGGCGTATTCGTCATATTCTTTCTTTTGTTAAAATCGTTTGTTTTTCTCCTGCGTATTGTAAATATATAACGAAATAATGTTCAAATGCATGTTATAAATATTCATTAAGAAAGTTAATAATGTTTTTTTTAATAGCGATAGATACAATAAACATTCTTTTTCCTTTTCAATAATTTTACACATGTTTTAATATTTTAGTAAAGAAATGTGAGTTTTGTCTTCATTCTTTTGATCATTATTTAAGTAAAATCTTCTACATAATTTTTTTTATTGCTGATTCAGAAAACTTATGAAAACTAAAGAAGGATTTATAGCGCCAAACGAACAGGACACACATTAGCATCCTCATGATGTAAATATATTATTAATAACAAAAAAATCAGTCATATATCATGAAAATTGAGACTTAAATAAGCTACATAACGTCCATATTTTTGTTATACAGACTATAGGGAGAAAATTTCCCCTTTAGAACACAAAACGGAGTAAGTATAAATAAATATTAAGAATAATACAACATCAATACAAAAGAAGGGTTTATAATCATTGACAAAATTAAACTATACAATAATAATAAGAACAAATGTATGTTATTGATCATTATATGAAAAAAACAAACTCGTCTCTTACGTACAGCTAAATTGAACTTGGCAATAGGTGAAAAATAAATAAAACAATCGTTGTTCGTTTGATACACCAGGGGTGTGACGCAGTCTTGTATTCATCCGCGTACCCTCAAGATGCGTATAGTCTTACAACAGCTAATCATTCAATACATTTTTGCTCAAACAAAAAAACTTGTTCAATAGGATTATATGGTGATTTGTTAAGTAAACATGAATTAAAGCTAATTTATGCTTGACGTTTATTTAGAGCTGTTTCAAATAATGAAGATCCAAGAATAACAAAGATCTTTAATGAAAATGATCATGTGATCGATCATTCCTGTAATATGTCATGCTCATATACACTATTGAGAATTACTTCTTTAAACTGGCATTTAAAATATTATCATCGTGTTTCTTATTAGTTTAGCACGAACATTAGTTGCTCAATCAAAGAAAATTCAAGTGGAAAATCTTAAATAATCTTATAACTAAAATGAATAAATTCTAATATTGTTTTGATGTTTTTGTTTTTTGTTAAATATCAAAAGGAATATGTAGACTTTAATTAATTGTATTACTCAAGTTTCATTTATCGAGTAATATCTGATTTCATTATTTGCCATCATATGATAAATACTATTCAAACATAACTAAATCTTACAGTGCTTATTAATAATATTTTTCAAACATGTATAGAGTTGCATGTATAATTTAAAAAATTTAATGTTAAACATAATTCTATGATATTTACACTGTTTTTATTGATTGTTTTTTGACAACGTGTCTGAATGAACTATCAAATTTAAAATCAAAACAAAGAATATTCATATAAGAAGATGATTTATTTCAGATTGCCATGCTTAACAATGAAGAGAATGTTGTTGATGTTAATTTCTTCGTTAAAAAAAAGTAAATTCGTAAAAAAATATATCACCATATTTTGAATAATAACAAAACAATACTTTAATATTGACGGTGATGTAAAATGATCTGTGATAAACATATTAGACGTCATTTTTGATGACGTAGTTGTAGATAAGAGAGGAGTAATGGAATAAAGTTTTATACCATTCACTTGTGTTGAAATTCATTCGATGGCATACATGTACCTTTTATCAATTTTTTTATTTTTCAATAATATTGATTGTATTTCATCTGTTACCTATTTGTGCGATCGAAATACTGAATGTGGATGTTCAAAAACGAATGCTCAACTAAACAAAATTGTTGGTGGTGAATCAGCAGTTGATTCTAGTTGGGGATGGGTTGTATCTTTACAACGTAGCTCTACTAATAGTCATTTTTGTGGTGGTACAATTATATCATCATTACATATCATTACTGCTGCTCATTGCGTTGTAGACGCTTCATTCAATATTGGCTCTACAAAAGTAGTTGTTGGCATAGATGCACTTTCTCAAACATCATCAACAACGGCCCAAGAACGTTCCATAGTACAGGTTTTCTCACATCCACAATATAGTGTCATCACGAAAGCTAATGATATTGCAGTTCTACGACTTAATCAACCATTGAATATTTCATATGAAAAAGGTACTGCTCGATTATGTTTCCCACGAGTTAATGCAACGTCCATGACCTATAATTATCCCATCTCAAATTCAGCACTGGTGGCAATTGGATGGGGTGTATTACGATCAGGAGGCCAGATTATACCATCTAACCTACATCTACAACAAGTGACAGTAAATGCTCTACCGGCAGATCATCAGATGTGTGCGTCTTCAATTAATAATCGACAACTTCAATTTTGTGCTGCCGTATCGGGTGGTGGAAAAGGTGAGAAAATGATTAAAAACCTTTGTTTATAAAATATTTCATCGTGAAATTAAGAATTTTTTCATACATATATATATATATATATATATTATTGTATTAGATACATGTCAAGGTGATTCAGGCGGTCCTTTAATGTATTTCGAGTCGAAGGAACGCCAGTGGGTATTAGCTGGTGTAACCAGCTATGGATATGAATGTGGCCTGCCAGGTTACGCTGGTGTATATACACGTACTTCAGCCTATCATAGTTGGCTTCAATCAATTGTCACTGATCGTTTTATTGAATTAACAGTGAATGGTGCTAGTGACATGTTGACATTGAGTAATACTAGTTCTACTACAACAATGAATGGTGCTAGATCTACTTCACCAAATTTATTTTGGTATATATTATCACTATATATGTTGGTACAGATACATGTATATTTTAAATAAAACTTTTTCAAGATAAAATCTAAACTCATCTGCATAAATTATTGGTATTGCTTCTACTTTCTTATCAAATAAAAACTCGTAATTATTGTATAAAGATATCATGCAATGAAAAACCATCTTGAGCGTGTGGGTGTGAGTGTAAGTGTATATGTTATTCTTCTCTCATAATAGACACTCCTGCCCACATTCACCCACCCACCATCCACACTTCTTTTTGTTAAATACGATCAGTTTTTACTTTTAATTTATTTGTTAATCTTGATTATGTATTCCATTAAATAATGAAAATGAAAATAAACAAGAAAAATGAATTGATGACGTCCATTAAAAAAAGAAACTTAAATCAATTACATAAAGCAAAGATATAAATATGTCACAAAATGAAGAAGATATTGTTAACTTCGAGCGATTACTATCAGAAGAATAATGATAACACAGGTCGAACAATCCGGTACGGTGGTATTCCGGAGATTTCATGAAAGCAGTATTCCCGTTGAACGGATCCGGTGACCGACTTTATCTGGTTTGGACCGGAACCGACAAGAACATGCCAAAACCGGCAACCGGATACGATTACCTCACTTCTTCATCGGATTCCTAGCATTTTCCGGGCGGGTTCCGTCCGGAAATTCATGGAATCCTGCTTCAGAAACCATCGTCCTGGGTACTATATCTGGATTAGAACCATAATATTTAGTAAAAAGAATTATATCCTTCGTTTTACACGAATATTGGAAAGAAACATACGGATAATCATTTCTTTTGTTGCTTTCTCGTGCTAAAATAGAGATTATATATATTATTGATCCGAATAATGAACGTTTTTTTATTTACCAACAGCCTCTTCCGTGTTACTTAACATTTTCGACACCGATCTAATTATCCAAATATTATTAATTAGTTGATCATTGTTAGCTCGCTTCGATAAGCTGATGTGTTTTTTTATTTGAAAGATTGAAAAATCACACCGTAACATACACACATACACGCTTATATAGGTACATAGATAGATAGAGAGAGAGAAGAAAGAAATAGATAGATTATAATAGATAGATAGAAAAGATATCTCCTAGCAATCATAAAGAAAACGTAGATCTTCATCATTGTTAGGTCTTATCGTATATGTGCATACAGCGCAAAAAAGGGAAAAACAATCTTACCTGAAAACGGCCAATGATGATGGATGTAGATGGTGTGGGTGAGATAAGAATGATAGAGTGTTATGCTTTGTTATCAGTATAAGAAAAGGAGACGTCGAGTTCGATATGTTAAAGCATAACTGCCTCTTCTTCTTTATCTATTAAATGTATATGTAGAGAGAACAGAGGAGAACAGGAAAGAAATAAACGGTATAGATGTCATGATATTTCATATCATAACACCCTTCTACGATAACAAAAACAATTTTTACAAAAGAAAAAATACTTTTTTCATGTGAAAACATAACAACAAAATATAGTAACAACAATATGAGAAAAAAAAGAAAAGGAATTAACAACAAAAAAATAAAAAAATAACTTTACCGAAATTTTTTCTATAATAGTAATAACTGTTCTTGCTAAAGATGTTGCTTGATAATGTTCGTCCTGCTTCTCTTCTTCGTTCATCATTTGATAAACCAATCATTAAATTTTCACCTGAATCATCTAATTTAATATGTGTAAATATAATATTGTAAAAACAAAGAATTTTTCACATCTGGCGTAATGTGAAGCGATTGTAACAACGTCATGTGATGGAATCTTGTAACGAAACATTCTTATTTCGTAGATTCTTCCATTGTGGATTTCTTCGACGAACTCTTCTTGGTGCAGGATCTGGCCGACTTACGCCAGCAGATCTCTCCCCATATCCATTAACATTATCTTCTTCATTTCTATTAACATTATCCCCTTCATTTCCATTTAATTCATCATCAGAAATTGGTTCTAAAAAATTTAAAACATTTTTAAAGGTATTATCATTAATATTTTTTTTAATTTTGTCAATTTTTAATGATGTTGTTGTATGTGTCAATGTTGAAGATGATGTATCTGTTAATAAAAAAGTCATTGATGCTTCACTAAATTCCTTGTATGACCATTTTTCCATAACTGGATTAACTAAATTAGATGCTGTTAATACATCATAAGCAACATAATTAATTAATAATCTTAATCTTGACTTTGGTATTCTGGAATAATCTTCATCTAATAACTGACCCCATTCTGCTCTGGTATAAGATTTGTCGAGGAATAGACGTGATGTAAATCGAATTGCATTTTGTATACTCCAAGTTTCATCAGTTCCAATATATGGCAGCCATCTACAGTTGCATCGATTATAAATGTCGTTCCCATCATAACCGCACTCCTCACAAGAAGGCGGGTTCCCCTCTAAGCAAACCTTAAAGTCATCCTGTAGATTTACTGTACGACATGCTAAAGTTAAAGAAAAAATATCGAAACTCAGAGCCTTCCCCAACAATAGATACTGTTACTTGGTTTAAATAATAATCTAAATAATAAACGTATTTGTTCAAATGAATCTGAATTAACATGTGGTAATTGATTAAGTTCAACTATAAGTACAAGAGCAGGTAATGTTGATAAAATCGTATTAATTTGAATCAAAGCAATTTGATTAGAATACTTATTAGATTCTGTATCGATACTGAATTTAATACACTTGTTCACGTCATCGATAATAGATGTCAACGTTAATGATAATGTAAAATGATTAATGTGGTATACACGAGGGTGTGGGAGGTGAGTGTTGGTATTCTGTTCATTTCACATATACACCCGCATGCATACCCACATCCACTCTCACCCCTCACTCAAACTCATAATAAAGGGTGAGGGGTATTACAGACAAGAATCATCTCACTAAAGTAAATAATCAAGCTTTGACAACTATTGAATACAGTATTTGAAATATCATGTGTGTGTAAGAATGCTTTCGATATATTGAGTAATAACTATTATTTTGATTCTTTTTTTCTTATAACAAATGAATCATATAATACGTCATATATTTGTCTTTTCTTAAATGTAATGTCTGCATAAATCAAGGTGTCTAATAGAGAACCTGTTTTTAATGATTGATACGCACGATTATGCGTTTTCTTAGTATTAATCTAATCTTTCAATATATTATTATTTAAATGATATTACTGATTAACATTTATTTGTATTAAATGTAAAGTGCGATTATTTATTCATTGTTTAAAGTTTGTAATGAAGAATAAAAGAAAGGAATAATATTGTAGAAGAAAAAAACTATTAAAAACTAAATAATTAAATATCAAATATAATTACGGAAATATTTTTATTAATCATTTTTCTATTTGCTTTTTTTTGTTCTAAAAAAATGTAGTTATTTTCTTGAAGTAGTAATGCACTTTTAAATGATTACAAATTTTTCATAGAAATTGAATTTTAGTTTAGTAATGCATAGTATAAAAATGATTCTTCATAAAAAAGATAAATTTTAATCTATGATCCGAGACTGAATGTAACATCAAAACTTTAATTTCTTACTGAATCATTGATGACTCGACAACTTTCTAAATTACACAAACGACACCTGATCAACTAAGTTGGAATCAGTAAAGCTGTAGACAATTTACCAACAAGAAACAGAATATGATGTCAATCTTGAGACTAATCTCAGTTTGAACATTGACATAGAAATCGATTTAAAATGAATTCTTTTGTACTTTTAATATCAAAAATAAAAATCTGATATAACTATTTTAAATATAATTAGTTTTTATCATAGTTTTAAATATTTCAAAATGAGTTGTTTACTCTTTAACCAAATGGAAGAGTATTTTACAGTACTTCTTTTGAAATTATTTACTAAACTTTTCTTTCTACTTCACTAATTACATAAGATATACATCCTATTTTTTATCTCATATTCATAATACTTATGAAAATAATATTTTACAGGAAATGGAAAAACTGAAGTAATAAATAAGTCATGTCTTTCCCATTTCTTTGTTCGTCTTTGAACAAACTCTCAAAAAAATAATAACTTTATTTATATTTCAGAGAATGTATATCAACTAGATAAAAACATCGTCGCAAGTAATTCTATTGTAAAGCAAGTTTCAGTTTTCTGTTTAGGTTATTTATTATATCGAATCGATGAATAAGTATTTACATTTTTCTAAAGATTATTATCAAAGTTATATACCTGGGCGTAGGAACCAGTTCTATTTTTTTCTTATTCAGCGTGTATGATATATCATAGAAGCTGCATCAGAATAAAAAGAATTAGAACCTTCAGTCAGACTGAGGATTACAGATATTAATTTTTATATTCTTCAGAGAGCGTGGAAGTACAAGAAGTTTATGAGAATATGATGGCAAATAACGTCGTAAATGATTGTTTTGAAATACGATGAAAATTCACAATCCTTTTAAATACACGAACCATTTTCTATCCGGATTATCTAGCGTATAAATACAATTCCTACTTATTATGCGAAGGAATATATAGTCTTGTGATGTTGTGAAAATATTTGATATTGACCAATATCATTCCATTAATATAAAATCGAATTATATTTTAGATATTCGAAATGATACTTTTTGACTATCTCAATGTTTGGTTGTTTTTGCTGATTGTTAGACAAATAACAGGTACGAACTCGATAACATTGTTTAACATCACACTAAATTCAACAGTTAGATTCTGAGTTTATGATGATCATTACTGTTCGCATTCTATCTCATAGTTCTATGATTTTTCACAGGTATTTCATACAATCAACCAAAACTTTGTGCAAATGCAACGTGGAACCAGGCGGCTATAACTTTTGCCGATGGCACCACGATTGGCACACTACCTTTAGGCATTTTTGTCAATACAGATAACAGCGTTTATGTCGCTGATCGATCGAATGGGAGGATTCAAGTGTGGTTTAACGGAAGTACCACACTTACAGGCAATTACTCTGGTGGCCTATCTACACCTTATAGCGTCTTCGTTACGGACAATAGTGATGTTTATGTCGACAATGGCAACACAAATTATCGGACTGATAAGTGGGGATGGAATTCAACAAGCAGTGTTCCAGCAATGTATATGTGCGGGCAATGTTACGGTCTTTTTGTCGATATCAATAATATGCTTTACTGCTCACTGTCTTCTTATCATCAAGTTATCTATAAATCATTGACCCAAAATTTAAATGTATGGACTAATGTCGCCGGTGTAAGTAATACAGCTGGATCGACATCGACCACACTTCATAGTCCTTATGGAATCTTTATCGATAAATACTTAAACTTATATGTGGCTGATAATGGAAATAATCGGATTCAAAAATTTGCATCAGGACAATCAAATGGAATAACAATATCAACAGGAGCCATCACACTCTCCATTCCAACTGGAGTTATACTCGATAGTGATGGATATGTTTTTATTGTTGACAATGGCAACAATCGTATTATTGGTTCAGGACCTAATGGCTTTCGATGTATAGCAGCATGTTTTGGATCATATGGTTCATCATCCAGCCAATTATATTATCCACAAAGCATGAGTTTTGACAGTTATGGAAATATATTTGTCATCGATCAATACAATCAGAGAGTACAAAAATTTCTCTTTTTATCAAACTCATGTAGTAAGTATAAGCATATATGATGATGAACGCTCCTATTCAATATCTAAAATAAATAAAATTCTATTTGTTTTAGATACAACCACAGTAACAACTACCAGTAAGTTAAATATGTCTTTCTTTCTTTCTTTTTCTATATTGTTAAGAAACTATCTTTGTTTGTAGCAACAACTATGATGAGCATCATTCAGACGACCACTGCATCAACATCCGTATCTTATTCTAATGGTAAAGTAATAACTGATAATGAGTATTTAATACATTCATCGTCACTCTCGCTTACTAGGAGAAGTTCGATGAATATGTTAGTTTTTACGAAAGAATATTAATGTAGAGTACATATCAGATGAAAATGGTAACATTATATGTTTTTTAACACATGTAGTTTTACAGGTCAGAAGCATAGTAAAATAGTCATAACTCGAAAAAAAACCAATATCACAATATCTTGCTATACATGTTTTGCATTCTAAACAGGCCTTATTGAATAGTGAAAGCCTCGTCACAAACTATTTTAGCATCTAGAGTACATGAATATTCTTAAACTGTGAGTTTGGGCATCGCTGTTTGTTATTCCACTATGTAGTTTGTACATAGCAGAAAAGAAATAAAATTAATATTATTTTAGTTATATCATTCAACCAACCAAAATTTGGCGCCTATGCTACTTGGGATAGTGTTGCTATCATTTTTGCAAATAGTAGTACCGTTGGCACAAGTCCATATGGAATTTTTATAGACACTAGCAATACGGTTTATGTAGCCAATAAAGCAAACAATCAAATTCAAGTATGGTTATCAGGAAGTAGTATACCTACAAGAAATATTACTAGTGGTGTTACTTCTCCATATAGTATCTTTGCTACCATCACTGGTGATATTTATGTCGATAATGGATATGCAAATAATCGAGTCGATAAATGGGCATCATACGGAAATATAAGTAGTTCAATAATGCAAGTTCAAGGTGCATGTTATGATCTCTTTATCGATATTAATAATAATCTTTACTGTTCAATGTATACTCAAAGTCAAGTTGCTATAAAATCATTGAATGGCAATTCAAGTCTGTGGATCGTTGCAGCTGGTACAGGTTGTTCTGGATCAACTTCAAATACACTTGATAATCCTCGTGGAATCTTTGTTGATACAAATCTTAATTTATATGTTGCTGATTGTGGAAACAATCGAGTACAATTATTTTTATCTGGACAAGTAACAGCAACGACAGTAGCAGGAAGTACAGCTAATGGAACAATCTCACTTAGTTGTCCTAGTGATGTTGCACTTGATGGCGATGGATATCTTTTTATTATAGACAGTAATAATAATCGTATTATTGGTTCAGGACCTAATGGCTTTCGATGTATAATTGCATGTACATCTACCAGTGGTTCAGCATCCAATCAATTAAGTAATCCATCGACTTTTAGTTTTGATAGTTGTGGAAATATATATGTTACTGATCAAAGTAATAATCGAGTACAACAATTCACTCTGCAAATCAACAACTGCAGTAAGTTATTTGTAAATAATGAAACATTATGAAATTGTAGTTGATAATTAGTTTTTTGCGACTATCATTTGATCTCATATTGATGTTTTTAGTGTAAATTCTCTCTAATTTGACTGAGTAAAGCACAATTGTTTTATATTCCAGCAAAACCGACCACCACCACTACTACTACCACTACCAGTACCACAAGTAGCAGTAGTATAACTACTACTACCACCAGCAGTACTACAAGCAGTATCATTGCTACAAGTACCACTACCACTGCCACCACCACCAGCACCACCAATAGTGCTACTACTACTACTATCATCACAAGTACTACAACAAGTAGCAGCAGCACTTCAAGTAGTACTACCACAAGCAGCAGTAGTACATCAAGTAGCACTACTACTACCACCAGCAGTAGTACTACAAGTATTATCCAAACGACTGTTGGTGAAAGTACGACACAAACTCTGGAAGGTATATTGATCAGAGTCATTTTGGTTGAATTTTATTTAATCATTATTCTTAGATATCTTCATTTCAACAGTAAAAGACTCAACAATAATGTCAAACACAGCATCCATAACAACTTCTCAAACATTAAATATTAATGAAAGTAATAATATAACTAATATAAAATATAGTTTATCGATTTTTCTTTTCTAAATTAGCTTGTAATTCACCGACGATTACATTGATTCCTGGGCAATCATCTCTATCATCTCCAATGTCGTATCGACGTAGCCAAGATTTTTTTATTAGTTCAATGATTGAATTTAATTGTGATGGTTCACTTTCGATAACTAAAAAATGGACAGTAAAGAATTGTACTTCAACTAGTTGTTCCTTTGAAATTGTATTAAATGAAAAAGTTATGACAACATATAGTGAACTTTATATTCCAGCAAGAACTCTTGATTATGGTATTTATCAATTAACATTAACTGTAACAATGGTTGATTCACCGAATTTAAAATCATCAGCTTCAGTTTATGTGAGAATAACGGCAACAGGTATAACAGCAAATCTTGTTCAATTAGGAACATCTATGATAACACGAGGTGATCAACAGGATCTTTTACTTGATCCTGGAACATTTTCGGTTGATCCTGATGAAAATACATTTGATGCAACTGTAAGTAATATATCTGTAGGTGAATAATCAAATAGGTTTTTTTTTAATTTTTAATCATAGAAATGGAAATATACATATTATTGTCGAATTTATGATTTATATAATTTTCCAAATATACAAGGAATATTATTATCAATTGATGATTCAACAGTTGATCCTTATAATCCATCATGTTTGTCAAATCGATCAGGTAAAATTGTTAATGACAATCTAATTCACCCATTTTTATTCTTTTTTAAAAAGGAAATGAAACAGGATTGATATTCGGTAATTTAACTTCATCACCAAATTCATCTCTAACAGTTCTCAGTGGTTCACTTCAGTTAAATCAAATGTATCAATTTATGGTCTATATGGAGAATCGTAAAAATTCTTCTATTCAAGCAACAGGTTTTGTACTTGTTACAATTGAAGTTACTCATCCACAACTGATTGCTGTCGGGTAAATTATTTAGGAGTTTTTAATTGAATTATCCCAATGAAAAATATTTATTTTAGTTGTGTAATATCACCCATGTGTGTTCCAGATCTTGAATTTCAACTTCTTAATCCAACAACACAAGTTGCTCTATTTACTCTTTGTATTGGAACTTGTACAAATCTTCAAAGTATTAAATGGAATATTTACCAAGGATCAGACAATTCAACATCTTCAAATTCTACTCAATGGATTTTATTTAATCAAACAAGTTCATATGAAAATATTTGGTTTTTTGGTAAAAATCTTGTTTTTTTAACTATCCTATATATTTCTTAATTATTTCAGGTACAAATACAAGTAATTTCACAGCAACAGATCAATTATTTCTTAATAATCTTCAAATAAGTCTTTGGCGTTTTGAAGTTGTTTATACATTTCTATCTGCAATAAGTACAAGTGCATTGAATTTTGTTATTAATCAAGCGCCTTCAAATGGTTCGTGTTCAATTAATCCTCTTAATGGTACTATAACTACTTTATTCAATATTACGTGTCCAAACTGGTATGATGTAGATGGAATACAAGATTATTCATTATATAGTATGTTTTATTTTCACTACCACTGACTTTTGTACTTTCTGTCATTTTAGCATGGACAACAGACATATCACAACAAACAATAATTGCATTTTCATCAGAATTTAGTTTTCAAGTTCGATTACCAGCTGGTGATAATGAAACTTCATTACTCAATCTTGTTGTTTATGTTCGAGATCTTGTGGGTTCTGTTATACAAGTGAATATATCTTCTGTTAATGTTATTGCAGATTTGGCAATAATCAATGATTTAATCGATAAAATAACAAATTCATCAAATACAATAACAAATAATCCGATTGTTCGATTACTTTCAAGTGGAAATCAAAATGTTGTTGGACAAATGATTATTTCATTATCACAAGAATTCAATCAAATGAATAGTGAAAATTTACATAAAGCCATATCGAGTAAATATTTATATTCAATTTACCAGAAATAATTAAAATAATTTTGTTTTAGATGGAATATCAGCTGTAAATATTTCAGTATCACCATTAAGAATTCAAAGATTACAACAAGTAATTGAATTTAATAGATTTTATTCGATTCTTTTTCTTTTTTAAAATAGATATCAATACTATTGAATGAATCAGCTTTGATTAATTATAATACAGAATTAAATTCTCTATCAAATGTTCGAGATTATCTATTACCATTTATAACTAATCTCCTCATAACAACATCAAATAGTATTATATTACAATCAACATCATTAGCTCAACTGACTCAAGCAACAAATCAATTAACACGAAATACTTTAGTAAAAATTATAAAGAATATTTCTATTGAAGATTTTTAAATAATTCTAGATGCTTGTATCAAATAGATGTTATGAATTATCTGCTGCTTTATATTCAATGTTTGAAAGAATATCATATGAAGATGCTCAATCAGCATCAAATCAACTTTTTCAATGTGCTTCAAATATTTTGAACGTAAAATATAGGAAATCAGTATTGTCACCTCTCTATGAACCTCTTGATGATTTTAGGGTGTGAATGCGCCATTACAAGGACGAACAGATGTACTTGATTTGGATTATTCTCGTGCAAATGCCATACCTACTGATTATGATACTGATCTTGAATCTGCATGGTCAAATTTAAGTAAGATCCTTTTAATATAATTAATTATTATTGAATTTTGACTTTTCAAAAGATTTATTTTCTGATGGAAATGATTTTTCTATTGAAACAATTGAAAAAAATCGAAATATTTATTATCAAAAACAGTTAGCAAATCAAATCAATACTCAAGTAACACAAATGATATCATTATTAACTTCTTCATTAAATATTCATATAAATATCGGTCAAAATTATCTAATGAATACATCTCAATCATTTGTATCATTAGAAACTATATCAATTCAATCACTCAAAGATAGACTTGTGAAACAAGTTGAAAATGCTCAATTCAATATTCCATCAGATTTTATTTTAAATACAACGTCTACTTCTTCAATTTCACTTCGAGTAATTTTCTGCACTTTGAATAATTTTTTATTAAATAATTTGTTTTATTCAGTCAAGAGTAGATCCACTTGCTTCATATGGAAATTTTCAAAATACAAATCTTTCAAGATCAATTTCACTATCAATTATTGATCAAAATGGAAATGAGGTTTCTTTTGAAGCCTACCAAAATAATCCAATACAAATGATTATTCCTCGTGATCCAAATATATTAATTCCATCAATGTATTTACAAAATGTTACATTAGTTAATTCAACTATTAATAATTTATTATTCAATTATCATTATATTAATATAACAAGTTCACTTCCAATTTCAGTTCATTTGGAAATTCATTCTTTAAATCGAAGTCTTGCTTATTTATTTATTTATAAATTTGATCAAACACCACAATTAAATAGTTCAATTAATCTCATTGATGGATGGACAATTTTTTGTCCTTTCAGTATGTTTTCTTTTCTTTAACATTCATCTGGATTTCTTTACTGTAATTATAGATTTAACCAATGATGATATATATCGATATTTTATTGATAATCAACAAACACCTGATCATCAATCGTTAATATTTGGAATAAGAGAATTAAATTCAACAGAAATTAATAATTATTGTTTAAATAATTCATCAATAAATACGTCTTTACCAATCACCGATGAACCATATGATTTTACATCAAATTATGAACTTCGTATATATACATCAGGTTGTTATTATCTTGATGAAAATAATCAATGGAAATCAGATGGATTAACAGTTGGTCCTTTGACAAATCTCTATGAAACGGAATGTCTTTCAACTCATTTAACGACATTTGCTGGTGGTTTTATTGTTTTACCTACACCAATTAATTGGAGTTATGTTTTTGCAAATGCTGATTTGATAAAAAATAAAACTGTTTATTTAACAGTGATATTTACTTCAATATTTTATATGATTTTAATGATTTATGCACGATTTGGAGATAAGAAAGATTTTGAAAAAGTAAACTAAAACATATTGTTTTATATATTTCACACGATCAAAATTTCTATTTTTGTTTTAGTTGGGAGTAACACCATTAGCTGATAATAATAAATCTAATCACTATTATTATCAAATTCTTGTTTTTACTGGTCAAAGAACAAATGCAGGGACAGATTCAAAAGTAATATAGTACAAAGCAAATATCTTAAAGAAACTTTTCTTTTTCTTTCTACAAGGTTCATTTTGTCTTATCGGGTGAGAATGATCAAACACAAATTCGATTATTTTCTGATCCTCATCGAAAAATTCTTCAACGTGGTGGAATTGATTCTTTTATTATTGCTGTTCCAAAGTAAAATTATTATTTTTTAAGATTTTATAAAAGATTAATATTTAGATCATTGGGCTTATTAAATTATATTCGTATTTGGCATGATAATACAGGTGAAGGTTCTTCAGCATCATGGTATCTAAAATATATTATTGTTCGAGATTTACAAACTATGGATAAATCTTATTTTATTTGTCAACAATGGTTTGCAGTTGAAAAAGATGATGGACGAGTAAGTCGTGTAATTTAAAACATACTATTTCTTATTTTTGACTTCAATTTAGATTGAAAGAACTTTACCAATTGCTAGTGAAGCAGAAAAGCAAGAATTTTCATATCTATTATCAAAAAAAGCTTATCATATTGTGTCCGATGGTCATTTATGGTTTTCAATATTTTCTCGTCCACCATCAAATAGATTTACACGTGTTCAACGATGCACTTGTTGTTTTGTTTTACTTTTCACTTCAATGTTAATTCATATAATGTATTATGATTTATCGAAAGAAGCGAAAGCATTAAGTAAAGCACATAGTGGTGCTTTATCAATTGGTCCTTTTTATATAGCACCTCAACAGGTATATATTGATTTTTACAGCAAAAAATTGAAAATTCTAGAGTCGTATATATTTAAGATTGGAATTGGTATAGTAGTCGAATTATTTACATTAATTTCAAGTGTTTTAATTGTTCAATTCTTTCGACGTATTCGATCTCGCCAACACATTTCACGATTACATGAAGCATTATATAAGATAAAACCATCACAACAAACGTTCGTATATTTTTCTTGTGAGGGTAATTAATAATCGTCTTGGCATTCTTAATTGTAGTAGTTCGGAAAATGTCCATGCAATTACGAAAAAGAAATCTTCAATAACATTTCCTTGGTGGTGTTTATTTATTGCTTATGGTCTTTCAATGATAATTATTGCTGTTTCGATATTTTTTATCATTGTTCGAGGAATTGAATTTGGTGACGTCAAAACTCAACAATGGTTAACATCTGTTCTTACTGGTTTTTTCTCATCAGTTGTTCTTACTCAACCTATCAAAGTATACTTTCTATTTTCTTTTAATCTATATTTTTGCAATATATTTCATTGAAGATTGTATGTTTGGCTATATTCTTTATATGTTTTTGTCGAAATTCAAATAATGATAAAGAAACAAGTGAATATATAAATGATGATGATGAATTTAATTTAGGCAATGATGAAGATTATCTTCAATCACCGGAGGTTTGTTTTCTTTTAGTATTTCATAAAAAAATTAATTTTCCGTATATAGTTTCACTCGTTATTTTCTTCTCCATCTTTAAAAAGTATTAATCGTCTTAATGAAAATGAAATTGCTCATGCTCGTGATCAACGTTTAAAACAAATTCAAATGTTGACAATTATTCGAGAATTTCTGATTAATTTGATATTTGCAATATTAATTTTTGTCATAACTTATTCAAATCGTGAACAACATAGTTTTTTTCAAGTCAATCATTTACGGGCTTATTTTCTCGATCAAAGACAAACTACAGTTGATTATACTAAAGTTTGTTCTTCTTTTCTTGTATTGAAATGAATTTTGTTTTTTTCCAGATCAATACAATCGATGAATATTGGTATTGGTTAGAAAATAGTTTTGTTTCAAATGTTCGTGCACAACAATGGTATAATGGAGATATTCCACAATATTTAAATGGATTTTTAAATGATAAATCTAATCGATTCATTGGTTGGGCAACAATGAGACAATTACGTGTTAAATCAGAATTATGCCCCAATCAACGTGTTATTTTAACATGCCAAGATAGTTATAGTTTTGCTAATGAAGAAACAGAATTATTTCAACCACGATGGACAACAAATGCAACGACTGAAGAATTCAGTTCATCGGTGATAAAAGCATTTAACTATACTACGAGTGATGAATTAGATACATATACATATGTAGGTGAATTTGCAACATATAGAGGAGGTGGTTATGTATATGAATTTCGTGGTAGTTTATCTGATATGAAAACAAATTTATCTAAACTTCATCAATTAGATTGGATTGATGAGAAAACAAGAGCTGTTTTTATTCAACTAACATTATATAATCCAAGTGTTGAATTATTAACTGCAGTTACTTTACTTGCTGAATTTTTACCAACAGGTGGTATTTATACAACAGCTCGTTTCGAACCAATTAATTTCTACAGTAATTTACTCTATATTTTTTATTTCTAAAGATAAATAAATTTTTGTTTTTTAAATTTAGCATTTACATCAATATTACAATTAGTTTGTACAATTCTCTACATATTTTTTATTATTTATTTTATGATCATTGAAATTCGATTAGTATTTAAATTAAAATTAAAATATTTTTATCAATTTTGGTCATTAATTCAATTAGGTATAATTGGTTGTTCAGTAGGAAGCATTGGAGTTTATTTTTGGCGTTTTCAAGAAGCGAATCGTATAAGTCAATTATTTGAACAAACAAATGGTTATATTTATATAAACTTACAACTAGCAGTTTATGTTAATGATATATTAACATTTCTTCTTGGTTATTGTTGTTTTTTTAGTATGATTAAATTTATTCAATTATTTCGATTTAATCAACGAGTATCTTTATTTGCTGAAACATTAAAATATTGTGCAAAGGCACTGATTTCATTTTCAATGATGTTTGCAATTGTATTTATGGCATTTCTTAGTTTATTTTATTTATTATTTGTATCAAAACTTTCGTCATGTTCAAGTTTAATATCAACTGCTCAAATGCTTTTTGAAATGACATTAATGAAATTTGACGCATCACAAATAATGAGAGCTGATGCTTTTCTTGGTCCATTCTGTTTTACGTTATTTATTCTTCTCGTTGTTTTTGTTTGTTTAAGTATGTTTCTTTCAATAATTAATGATAGTTTTCGTCATGCGAAAGACGACAATCAAAAAGAAGATCAACTTATATTATCATTTATGCTAAAGAAATTTTTAAGATGGACAGGTATGTAGACTTTAGAACTTCTCTTGTGTGCCATGCATTTTCATAATTTCTTCTTAAATGATAAGCGGATGCACTGAGTTTTTGTTTATACGAACAAACTTGAAAAATACTACCGCTAACAGAAATACAAAACTTTCATTTTTGACGTATCATAGTAGCACATAGTTGTCTATTAATATTTTAGGTCTGAAAAAACTAAGTCAATTAGAAATTCAAGGAGAACGAGATTGTCGAATGCGGTCTCAATATTTTGATCCAATTGAAAATTTTCCTGATAGAATGGATCAATTACTAGAAGCACTCAATAGAGTATGTGAATATCTATTTTATTTTTTAATTGAAATTATTTTCTGTCTTTTTAGATTTATATTGATCAAAGAAAGGAATTAGCAAGGCTGAACAAAGCTGGACTCTAAATATTATCTTTCGCAAATTACCTAGATTTTCTCATAATGAACTCTAAATAGATTTTCAATCTTTTTTTTTTCGAAATAAATCTTTAAAATTGATCAGATGTTTTACTTCTGTAACATAGAATTACACGGTTTTCGTTTTTGAAGACATCATCTTATTGGTGAATGTAGATGGATGAAAGAAGTAAAAAGAAGGGAGGGTGTGTTATAAGTGCAACACCTACTCGTACTCAAATCCAATCCACATCCACACCCTTGAAAGTGTGGGAATGTGTATATACTCAGAGCGAACAGCTATATTCACAAAGACACCCACACCCTTACTATGTGCAAATCAAAAGCCAATATTGAATAAAATATTTTGTTAGAATAAGAAAATATATTAAATCGTGCATCTATTGTATGGTGATTGTTCTGTTTTATAATCCCATATATTTTCTATTTTTTTCTATTGAATAGAATTAGTATACTTTAGAAAGACTAGGAGAAATATCAAATTTCGATTCATAGAAGCATTAGTCTATAGGCTTTCTATTTTTCAATTAATATGGCTTAAATCACTATATATGTGTTGGAAAGAGCAAATAGATTCATTTATGATATTGCCTTCTTCTAAAACACAATATGATCAATAATATTATTTGTTATTTCGTTTTTCTTCTTTTCACGTAAATAATATTCATTTTTTTCTTGGTTCATTTTTCTAATATATATCAATTTTCTATTTTAGTGACACAGGTTTGGTACTCATGTTATTGCAGATTTTTATCTATTAGTTTCTTTCATTATAATTCTAGTGACATCTAACATTTGTCAAGGCGTTGATCAATATGCTAGATGTTCAAAGAATACTGCGTGTGGTTGTTTCCATAGGGTAAATACAAATGATATTGGTGTTTGTGGTTTCTTGTAGCCAACTTGTTCTCAACTTGTGCCATGTAATCCTTCGACTAATGCATGCGATCGATCTGATACTATATGTGTTCGACATCCTCGGTGTCACGATCTCCCATTGTGTTACCCAGTGTAAATGATTGATCAACCAGTCTGTCCACCGATAACAAGTAAGAGAACAGTCAGTTAGATTTATATCCGGATGAACTACGTTTCGAACCACCTATTACGAACATCTGACAGCATGACCGAGTGTTCGTTCTCAGAATCAAAATTTTTTCTTGACGATCTTTCGCAGGAGCTCGTAAAAGGAATTTTTTTTTAGAGATTTATGCCGGGAGTTCGGAAATAAGCTTTATTTTTGAAGGCTGTTACGGATGTTTGTAAATCTTGTTTGTACAGAAGATCGTAACAGAAAAAGTAAGATACGTCTAGTGGACCGATTCACAGTTCAGAATATAGGACTTGAGTGTGGATGTGGATATAAGTATGGGTCTGAATGTAGATGGGTGGGTGCGGATGTGGACTCTCTCTACTCCCACCCACACCCACACCCTCACTAGGACAGTCATATGCTGGTAGTTCATTAATACTTGTCTAATTTGGTTGAAATTCTGGATATTACATTATCGATATTATTCTTTATACAAAGGAATAAATATAAGAAATCCTTTATCTTTCTTGTAATAGTTTTTGTATTTTAATCTGGTTATTATTGAGCAATCGCATAATGTACCTGTTTGGTCAGTAGAGCGAACTGCACAAATAAGAGAGTTTTGTGAGTTTTCTTCTATTCTTTATATTTCATTTATTTTACAGCTCTCATCTCACTTGATAGTATTGATGGAGCTGTCTACGGTATACATGGTACAAAGATAAATCAGGATAGTCAAGCATCACAACCTGGCCTCTTATCTGGTCATTATCCTACAGACCATTCACCAGCCAATGCATGCGATGGTGCTACTTCTACAAAGTATTTAAACTTTGGAAGGTGTCCAGAGTATATAGATGATATCACATGTGGTTTGGATACTGGTTTTTACCTGGAGTTGAAGCGAGGTGCATCATTAGTTACAGGATTACAAATCTGCACAGCCAATGATTTTCCAGAACGCGATCCACTTACAGTATCAATGGAAGGAAGTAATCAGTCTGGGGCATCTCTCAATCTCGGATCGAGCTGGACTCTGATTTACAATGGGCCTAGTGGTCTTCAAACAAATCCTGGTAGACTCACCTGTGGCATTATGCAATTGATGAACAATTCGATTCAGTACAAAAGTTATCGGTTTCTTGTTTCGAGCAAGCGGGGCTACGGGAATAGTGTTCAGTATTCTGAAGTAAAGTTATTTGGATACTGAACTTTGGCAATGTCATGACCTTCAGCTATGATACATCTTCTACTTTCATTTATTCTCTTATATTATACACATATTCCAGAGTCAGTTTTGTATGCTTATTTATTGGACTTTCTTTTTCTGTTCATTCACTTCCATTTCAAATAAATTCATTATCTTTACAGGCTTAATTTCTTTTTATAAGTTTATATAAAAAAACTAAACCAAAGATCTTTTCGTATTAAAACTATTATATTGCACCTCATATAATGGAATTTATAGTCGTGCTTTTTGTAAATAAAGTGTTGGCTTTGATTTATATTTTATGATCGAAAATGGAGAAGGTTTGTATTGATAAGCAAAAAAGTTAACTATGTTGGAATCACATGGTTACTTTCAATGAGTAGGATGCATGTGAGTGTAAATATATGAGTGGGTGAGTGAGTGTAATATTTATATCTAAAACTACATCTACATCCAAAATTCTACTATATCATGTTTAACTTTGATTCGATTTACAAATGTTTTTCTACTTATTTGATTGAATAGTTTTCCAAGTATCATTCAACGTAAAGTTGAACAGATAGTTAATTTCATATTCGCAGTGATAGCGTGTTTTCAACATATGTTGTAAAAATATCGAAAAAATAATCGTCTAAGAATTTGCCTGAATCTCTTTATTTGTCTATACATGATGCTAGTAGATTTCGTCATTTATTAATATTATATTATTTATTTAAAGTCAAAATCTAACATATTATTGATAAGATGTTTTTTTTTGTTTCAAATCGTTGTAGTAATTCAATTACGGAGGTGGTAAATACCTACGATATATAATTATGTACGTGGATAATATTTACCCATAAGCTCTGACTCATTGTGGAATAAAATGTAAAAAGAAATGTTATGTTTTCAGATCATATTTCCATTTCTTTACTCGTAACTGACTTGTTGTTCAGAGACAGAGAGAGAATAACTCTTAGCCAAAAAGAATTAAGATAAAACAGTAAATTCAAAGAAACCGATTAAACATTGCTGCTTGGTTTATTAATTTAAGAACACTGCCCACATATTGTTTCTTTCATATGAATACATAGATATAAAAGATAAATCCAATCGATAATTTAGTCTTTTTTTTCATTTTATATTTGTTCACAAAAGAAAGTGATATCCAGCAGAGAATACGAAGATAAATGTATACCATCACTGTTAGTTGTAATAAAGTTACATTTTTCAGTGAACACATTGAAACATTAGATAAGTAAACTTACAAAATATTTCTATAGTTTGTCATCACACAGTACAAACAACCTTTTGCATTTATTCATACTCTTAGTTTTAATAAATTACAAGTTTAAATAATTTGAGTCAGTTATAAAACTGTTTCTTCTACATTTTTAGACTAACTTATGGATATCAAAGTTTTTATATAAAATACCTGAAAGAAAAATTTTTATTCAGAACTGTCTGTGTGGAACAAACGGTTTCACTAAAAAAATAAATTGTTCAAATCTGGAGTATCCCTTTTCTCTTTTTTTATAGAACTCTATAATGGATATAACCATATCATTTCAGTTACTATCAAAATATCGTTTCCATCATTTCGGAGAATTAATTAAGTTCTATGATTTTGTATTGTATGTAGATAAATGAAGAAATCTCCGATATTTATATATTCTTGCTATCCTATATCAAATTCAATGTTCAATATACTGAAAGTAATAAGAAACTGTTTTTCTAATTATTGTTGTGTCTGTAATGAATACTTACTTATTCATTTAGTTTTTATTTTTTTGTAACATTTGATTTTGAAAATATAATTAAAACTGTTACTTAATATGTTGTTAAATAACAGAGAAACGGCAAAAGAGAGAGAGTGATTAGGTATTAGTAGTAATTGTGTTTTTTTTATATTCGAACATATCACAATATTTTACTCTTCATTCTGAAATCAGATTGAGACAATGGTAGATTTAAACAAACGAGCTTTTTGGCATTTTACATTTAAAGACATATTAACTATTCTATGCGCAGCTGCTATACCCATCGCTCTTGCTATTTATGCTGCAATTGACTCTGAACAAGCAAAAAAAGAAGCTGAAAAAACACGACAGTTTGATTTGGAACAATCAAGAGAATTAAGACAACAAACACTTTATGATGAATTTATAAATCATATTTATAAATTGGATAAAGATGGTTATCTGAAGGAGAGAAAAAAACCATGGGCATTTGCAAATGCATATTATCGTGCTGCACATCTCCAATGGGATACAATACGTAAAGCATATGTTATACAATTTCTTAAAGAAAAACAATTGATTGGTAGAAATAATTGTACTAATGGATGTAAAATAACAAATTTGGATGATATAATTCGTTTGAATAAGTTAAACTTTGATAATGTACATCTAGCAAGTCAAACTGGTGCATTACATCAACTGGATTTAGAATGTGTTTCTTTTGATGAAGTATCAATGTCAAATGCAGTATTTTCATCTGTTAATTTAAATGGTGCGTCATTTAATGGAGCACAATTAGATAAGGTGAAATTTGATGGTTCATCTTTCCGTTGTGCTAGTTTTAATGGTACAAATCTGGAGGGTGCACACTTTTCAAACAGTGATTTGTCAGGAGCTAAACTAACGAAAGATCAAATAAAACAGGCATCTTATGATAATGTAATTCTGCCAAATGGAGAGAAGAGTGAAACTACATCATCAACGACAACAAAAAAACCTAGAACACAAACAATAACTATAATAAAAACAGAAATGTCGACAACAACATTATCATCATCATCAGCACCATCATCATCAATAACATCATTATCAACATCAGAAGCAACAACAACAACATCCTCAGCAACTTCACCAACAATGTCGTCATCATCAACAACATTATCAACATCGTCAACAACAACATTAGTCGGTCAGTAACATGTTACACGAATTATAGTACCTTTTTTAGTTGCCAATCGATCAATTCTTTTTTTAGTTTGAGAAACTGTACTCTTAGAAGCTTCTGTTTCTTATTTGCTGAATATACTTGATGATGATAAGTAATTTTCAGACAATATTCCCTTTCGAATATTATTTTGAAAGTTATGCATATGATATGTTTGTAGTATTGGTGAAAGTGTTTTATTTACTTTTATCTTTCTGAGATAGATCCATGTAGAATTTTCTGTAGAATAAAATCCAGAATCTTGTAACAGAGAACTCAGTTCGAAGCTACAGTAATTATTGATAGGTCCTGGAAATACAAAATCTACTTAGTTTAAACTTTTCATCTAAACTTCAGAAAGAATGAGTCATTCTCATTTATACTTCGAGATAGTCTATGCCTGTTCGTTTTAGTGAAGAGATTTTCAAGTGCACTCGAATAATTCGACCTATCATATGACTAAAAGATCTTCGTTGGATTCACTTAACATGAGTAAATTTGAATAGAATATGCTTCTAGTAATGTTCCATCGAAATTTTAGTCTTTTTGATAGCTATGTCTCGTAAAGACACGATTTAGTGTTTGTTGCAAAATATTAGCTCTTCTCAACATGTATTTGTGAGAATATGTTTAGAATTTTACAAAATTAATTTTGTGTTGAAAAGATATTGCAAAGAATGATGTCACATGAATAAACGAATGCAGAAGAAACAAATGTATTATCTAAATTGGAGATTAATAACTGTGCTAATGCCGAAACAGATTAAAACGTCGTTGATGACGATAGATAGAATTGGAAAAATGATGTAAGTAGTGAGATTCTAAAAGATCACAATTAGGCATAAGGGTAGTGGATTGAGTGTATTGGTTGATTGGTTTGCTTTCAGTTGAGATGAACTATTGCAGATTAAATAGAATAAGACGATGAAATACTATTTTTCATTGATAAGAACTGTAATCGAAATCTTTTTTTTCTTGTTTAGCAGTTTCTAATGGTACATTTCTTGATGAAACTATCTACTCAGTTGGGGCTAGTCCTTCGTCAGTGGTCGTAACCGATGTGAACGGCGACAAAAAACCTGATATTGTTACTGCAAATAGAGATTCAAGCAGCAGCAGTGTTTTTCTCAATACAGGCAATGGCACTTTTTCTCCTCCAACTAATTACACAGTTGGCACATTTCCACAATCAATAGCAGTAGCCGATATGAACAACGACAATAAACCCGACATTGTCACTGCAAATACAGGGAAAAACACCATCAGTATTCTTCTCAACGTAGGCAACGGCACTTTTTCTCCTCAAACTACTTACGCAGTTGGTGGAGCTCCATTGTCATTAGCAGTAGCTGATGTGAATAACGATGGTAAACCCGATATTGTCACTGCAAGCAAAAGTAAAACCTGTATTAGTGTTCTTCTGAACGTGGGTGACGGCACCTTTCCTCGTCAAGTTACTTACCAAGATCTTAGAGGTTCATTGTCAGTAGCAGTAGCCGATGTGAACAGCGACAATAAACCCGATATTGTCTATGTAACCGCGACTTTTAACTACATCATTGTTTTTTTCAACACAGGCGACGGCACTTTTTCTCATCAAACTTCTTACGTAGTTGGTTTAAATCCAAATTCAGTAGTAGTAGCCGATGTAAACAGCGACGATCAACCGGATATTATTATCGCACATCACGGTATAAACAGCATCAGCATTCATCTTAACAAAGACAAGGGCACTTTTCCTACTTCAAGTACTCACTTAGTTAGTGGAGATCCAGAATCAATAACAGTAGCCGATGTGAACAACGACAATAAATCCGATATTGTCTCTGCAAACGCGAATTCAAACAGAATCAGTGTTATTCTCAACAAAGGCAACGGCACTTTTTTTCCTGAAACTACTTACGCAGTTGGTGGGGATCCAGTTTCAGTAGCAGTAGCCGATGTGAACAACGACAATAAACCCGATATTGTCGTCGCAAACCGAAATGGAGGAACTGTCAGTGTTCTCGAACACTGTTAAAATTTATTTCTTCATCATACCTAATGATGTGAAGTGAATGACAATGCTCGTCCGATACTAACACTTTTTATAAAACCTTCTCTTTATCAATCTTTTACTCAAACTCATTAATGCTTTTACTTTCAGCTTCTTGTACTGTTTTTTGCTTGAATCAATGGAAAGCAAACTGATCCTATCTTTTGACGAAAAGAGTAGTCTGAGTACATGGATGAGGATGTGATTGCGGTGTGGATACGAAGAATCACATAAGTATTTACCCTCCTCAGACTCCATAGTAATGGAAACTTATGAGAATCACCGACTATTAACCATCAACTGATTAGTTCGCGAGTTTGGTTACATTTTACAATTGCTTTTTATTATATATCATTTATCACTAATAAATAAATTCTATTAAACACTTCATTTTGTACATATTACTCATACAGAAAATAGTCTTATGAGAGACTCCTTTTGAAAGCCACACCCGGTTTGTTATGAAGGATAAAAGAGGATCCTTCTTTCATAGAGAATAATATTCTATGGCATCATTACTTCATAGTACACATTTATAGGTCAGTATTAAAAGAAATCGTTCAAAAAAGAAATAATATACCAACTTATTCGTTTTTCATATGTTATCGGTAAGTAAATAAACAGTGATGCTATTAATATAACAAAATTAATTGAGTTTATCCTCCGTTATATATTTCAGAAATGAAATAAACATTTTTGATTTTTACAAATTCAACTTGAATAATCATAGAGACATTAATTTCGAATAAAGCTAAAGATGATGATGAATATAAGGAAAATATAACTGTTGTTTGTTTTTATCCAGATAATGAAATAGAAGATTTAAAGAAACGATTCTATGAAATATATTATTTCTATTGAACCAATGATAAAAGAAAATATTTTTTTAAATTATATTCAGTTGACATATTGATGAAATACAATCTCAAATAGAACATGTTCATTCAACTGATTCGATTTTTATATACTATTCAAAAAAAATGAATATAAATAGTTTTCTTATGAAAAATAAAATATAATTAGTATTCATGATACATTTAAAAAATGATAAAGTTCTTGTTTTCTTCGAATAACCATTAGCCATTCGAGAAAAATATTATGATCAATTTCATTTTAATATTGCTCGAAGTCTAAACAATATTAGTGAGATTTTATTCGAGTAATGTCGATCTTTAAGAACTATTATCAATCAAACCGTCTATTTATTTTTTCTTGTCTTTACACTTATGGTCTTATTCTTAGTCGACAAGAGAAATCTCTAGATATTGAACAACAAGCATTGATGATGATCAAGAAATGACTAATCATATTGTTATTATTAAGATTTTGATGAATATTTCATACACCTACAATTTAGTCATAGACAAAAGCTTTTACAACATCAAATAGAATAGTAAGAACTGTCTACGCTATGATGTTTGTGGTTCTTTGTTTCTGTAATATGATGCCCGTAGCAGTATTCGTTTGTTGACGCTGTGTTTTATTGAAACACTTCAAGATGACACGTTTGATTTCTTGACGAAATGGTTTAGATACGGCGACATACAAGTAGAAAGTAAGGCA